TCATTTGTCATATATTATCACGCAGAGATTTTTTGGTGTGTGGTATGGCCTTTGGCCTTTCAGATGCAGTGCCTATGTGCTGAGTGAGAATCAAATCTTAGTTAACAATCACGGCAAGATTAATCCTTCAAATTAAGTTAACTGAAGTTTATGTGGGAATAAATAAATAAGACACAACGCAGCAGAGAACAACTCACTGGTTCAGTGTTTAGCTTTCAATCATATTTTTGACCATTTTTCATATATTTATCTATAATGTTTACAATGATAGTTCAAGGGTTTTCTATGCTTTGAATTACTTTAACACTTGTTGAAGACACAGTGTGGGGTGTGTGTTTAAGATGTGCTGTCTGAAATATGAAAACGCCCTCAGTTATAGTTCATATCAAATGTCTGCTCTTTGCTAAATCATCACAAATCATGAACTAGACTGAATAAAACGTTTAGTCAAAGATATACATGTCAAAGGGTTTTAGAAATGACATCTCTAGTCACTATTGGACACTTGTGTCTTCTGTGCAATTATTGTCACAAATGAAATAACATTTAAAAAAAGTGTTCCCAGTTGTTTTCCCCAGGCTTATTGGTGGGAAAGAGACAGGAAACTAATCTTTCCTTTTTGTAGATTTGAAAGAAAGTCACTCCTATTATTTGTCACATTTTTCACAGGTCAGATTAAATCTATAAGGCATTTAAAAAAAAAAAATCATAACGACACAAAAAAAGAGAAAACTTTCGGCTTTTCACTATTGGTTACAGTATCAAGTAATAAACAAACTAAATAAGTTAACTGAGTTATTGCACTTCATTATACATTTTGGATTCTTGTACTATTTGCTTAAGTTTTTTTATTTTCCTGTTTTTTTATAATCCTACTTCAAACATCTACATTCATACATCTCAGACCTTTTTGCTGCACCTCATTTATTCAATACATTTACTCACTCCTACTTTGCAAATTCAGATTAGTGACATGAATAAAAAATGAACGAATAAATTGTGGCGTGATACGATTGGTTAAGATGTGACTTATTGTTTTATTGGCGAGGTTTTTATGCTTTTACAGGTGACACAAGAAAAACCCTCCACCTTTTACCTTAGGAAGCATTCTGAACATATGCATTCATAATTATTATACAGTTGTGTAGACTAGTTTATATCAATCCTGAACAGGTTCTGTCTGCAGAATGAGTACATTCAATTTAATTTGATTCATGAATATCAAGTTTGCAATTTGGTAAACATTGTAACGTTAAAGCTTTTATTGATAGTGTCCCTTACCTTAAAGATCAAGGTACTTTTTCCCCTACACATTACAGTTAAATAAATAAGTACCTGATAAGGCTGCAAAGTTTCAGTGAAAACAAGTCAATAGCCCCACAGTGATGAGGCTTTGTGCTTCACCAACCATCTGTTTATTAAAGTACAATGAGAATCAACCACTGATGAACCAGCTCATGAACTAATCCCTCTACAGGCCTGCATACACATATTAAGTCTAACACCTAATCTCTGAAGAAAGGAAGCATGATTGCAAACATTCTGATTTTCATTTCTGAACAAACGTTCATCTATACAGTACTTGAAATAACATTGTGCAAATCTTTAAATTTGTTCTTGTAAGTTGTAAATTGCTCCTATAGCTTTCTTCTATCTGTATGTAATGTGAAAAGGCTTTTTAATCTCTTTAATTGTAGGGCCATGCCGAGTGCAAGCAGCACTTCATGTAATTATCTTGAAATGGTCTCTTAAATGTCTCCTCATCCCAAAATAAACACTGGAAATCCTCCATTTTGTAGATATTATCAGCTTCTATACACCATTTCAGCATTAAGATTCCTCTGGTTCAGTCTAGTCCACATTCACCTGTGGAGCCTTATATCTGTCACATCATGGCACCTCAAGCGACTGCATCTCTTTGTCAGTCCGCCTCGCTCTTAAGGATTCATTAGACTCCAGCAGCCTCAACATATTGCACCATTCAGCCGGTACTTATATGTCATCTGTTATCTATTGGACTGGTGTTTGTGCTGAGCATATGAATGATAATCAGGCCTTTGTGTGTCCATAGAGGTGCAGCAGGATCTGCGGTCTGTGATGTTGCCTCAGGGGGAGATTAGGAGGGGCAGCCGGCCCTCTGTGTCACGTCGACAGTCACAGCGCCCATCCGCGGCCGGGCCAAACCCCACTGGGACCTTAAATCCTGTTACACTGTCAGCTAAAACCATCATTTGTATTAGAGATGTGTGGGTGTTTAAGTGTGTGTACATATTAAGTGCGGGGGGATAGTGTCTTAAACTATGAATTATTCATACCAAAAAGAAAAGGAGATATTGACTACATCTCCATAAACAGACTGCTCTCTTTATGTCATCAGGCACGAGATCTTTGGGTATAATTGCGTAAAAGCCCCTGAAAATGTGCTTCTGCGGCAGCACAGCAGGCACTGGTCAGCGTTATCATCAGGGATGAACTTTGAGTGATGGCAATTGTTCCAACTTAATATCTTATAAATAATTTACTTTTTCAGGGGTATTGCTTCCCCCCTATCAAACATTAACGTTAAGAAGCTTTGCTAACTCCCAGCTGTATGCTGAACAAAAACTGAATGTGTCTGTGAGGGGAACAAAAAAAACACAGATATGGATGTGATGATGCATGAACCTTATCACAAGAGGCTATAAATGTATATTTTTTTTAGCTTGAGAGTAGTCCAAAAACTGTAATAGAGCTGTTGTAATGTGAGTGGGCTATTTCCCTCCATTATTTATCTCAGTAACAAGTGATTATGGAGAATGAGATTCTTTGCACTTCTGGCCCGCGCCTCCAGAGGGAGGTCAAAACTATTTGTCAGTCTCCAGTTGGGATTGCAAATTAGGATGAGCCTCCCTGCGTGACGACCCATGAAACCTCTATTCCTATCCACGGGGTGACTGCTGTACATAATTCGAAAATTAGGGCCTTTGATAACATCTTTATGTTAAGCAATACGTCAATCTGCCAACAGCATGCAGTCTATCTGCCGCTGTAAAAAAAAATACAAAAAAAAACAACAGAAAACCATACGTTAGAGACACAAGTCAGACATGCAGTGTTCAGAACCAGGGCTGAAAAAAGATTTATTTTTATTAAAGACTTCATTGCACGAGCTGATGAGAACAAAACGTCAAACATGCCATTAAATTATTACCTTATTACGAATGGAAAGAACAGATTTGTATATACAGAAATTCATTTAATCCTAACAAGATTGACAGACTAGTTAATTGCAAATTCCCGACAGGAAATGAAAGGACATACTAATGCAACAAATGAAAATTACCCTCTTGGATACTGCAGTCATTCAGGTGGATATATATTTTTTTTTTTTTGTGTGTGGTTAAACTGCTCCTAATTTCTGTCGACTTTAATGGTGCAGGCTAATTACAGGTCAGGCCTTTTATGGAAGATTAGCGGTGTGAAGCTGAGCACATTAGGGCCTCTTTTATGAGGAGAAAAACAGATAACATCAGAACCAACTTGTGGAGCCAAAGAGCTCAGTTAAGGCGTGATTATTACGGGAAATAATGCATAAAAGCTAATGATATGAAAGCTATGAATAAAAAACAGACGACAAGAGAGCAGTAGCCAGAACATGACAAAAGGCAGAACCACACACTGCGCAGTTAACTTAGTTGAGACTGTTAGCATTGGCTTCTTGAGTGTTTATGAGATATTGATCCCCAATTTGAAGATTTAAACTGACTTGTGTTTTTACGTTTCCTTCTCACAGAGGGTGTAATAAAAACTGGGAGAAGGTGAAATCAAGCTCCACTATCAACTCACACTTTACGGCTCCGTCTCTTTGAAGGTCTTGTTCAGAGAGCCTTAAAGTGAAAGAAAATGTTTTCCTATTACTTAATTCAATCAGAGAGTGAGGCGGGGGCTTCGTGCGCCGCGCATTGGGCTCCTCTATGACAGAGTCGCCTTTGTTGCGTCTATCCGCCGCTGTCACACACTTTAATTCGACTCTCTTTCTCTCTCATTGAAATCCCTCCACAATGACATTCAATAAGGGCCGCAGAGTGAAAACCTGGTTATTTTTACATATTCTTTCCCTCGACTCGGCAGGGGCCCGAGCAAAGGAATTAATCACTGCTCTTTAACAGCACTGCCTCGAGGCGATGACTTGTCCCTTTTTTTCTTGTGTGCCCAGAAATGACACATTAACCTTAAAATGGATATGCATAAACTTTACATTCAGCTGGTGCGTTTGTGTGCGCACTCGACAGTCAGTAAAGTAGCCACACAAGTGCAGCAGACCTGTCACACTAATAATGCCACCTCAATATCATAGAAAAAAAAAAATGTTAAAGCATTTAGAGGTTTGTTTATTCGGAGAGATTCAATTCGTGGGCACATGCAGATGAAAATACATTTGACTGATGCAAACTTTTCAAAACAGACAAAGTCATAGCCTAATTACATTTTAATTTTTTAAAGAACTTCTATGAATTATTATCTAATTAACACGTAGTTGTTAATAATGGATGCACATTAATGGCTAGAAATGCAAGTGTTTACGCCTGTGCCGCAACTCGCCTTGGGTAAAAAGTCATATTTCAGACTAGCTCTCACTGATACACACCTGATGGCTATTTAGTATCTAAGACAAAACTTGAATAGTTGCTGTCTGAATGTGACAGAAACGTTTTCTCGCGCACATTGAAGCTCAGCTCTATGATAAAATGAGAGTGATGATAAAAGGGAGAATGGGCAGTGCCGCCTCTTGCGGCGTGGGTGGGGCTGACAAGAATAGACTACATTATGCAGTTCATTTAGTTAACAAGTGAAATAATGGGGAAGCGTGCAGTGGGAATGCCGAGAGAAAGGCACAAAACCCTATTGAGAGCTCTTGGCCGCTTACAGCGTAACCGTCACATGGCCGAACCGAGTCCACGGCGGCTATTTAAGGAGCGGCGCTGCGCCTTCAGCACCACTTCGCTGTCCACAGTCTCGAGGAGAGCACGCTGACACCACCACGCGCCGGATTCAACTTCAGCCACACTGAGCAACAAGTTTTTGCAAACATGCCGAGGTCTTTTCTGGTGGATTCCTTGATTTTAAGGGAGGCCAACGACAAGGGGAACGAGAACAACCCACCTTTATTCCCGTATGCCGTTCACTCACCGCATCACCCGCACGGGCTGACGGGCTCGTGCCACTCCAGGAAAGCGGGGCTGCTGTGCTTCTGTCCGCTGTGCATGACCGCGTCCCAGCTCCACCCGTCTCCACCGACTCTGCCGCTTCTCAAGGCTTCGTTTCCTCCCTTCAGCGCGCAGTACTGTCACTCAGCTCTGTCCAGGCAACACACCTCCAACAGCGTCAACCTCAGCCACGGTCCCGGGATATACCAGGCTGCGTACTCAGTCCCGGACCCAAGACAGTTCCACTGCATCTCTATCGGTAAGAACGGGCTTATTTTACCTGTGGGCGAGGGCGCATGAAACAATATTTCACTTTTTTGTTTGTAATATCACAGTTGCTGACAGTCTCTCTTTTTTTTTTCCTACAGAAAACAGTAACAGCAAACTTCAGAGCAGCAAGCGCATGCGCACGGCCTTCACCAGCACACAACTTTTGGAGCTGGAGCGCGAGTTCACCTCCAACATGTACCTCTCCAGACTGAGGCGCATCGAGATCGCCACGTACCTGAACTTGTCCGAAAAGCAGGTTAAAATCTGGTTCCAGAACCGCAGAGTGAAGCACAAGAAAGAGGGCAAGAGCAGCGGCCAAAGGACTGGATCACATAACTGCAAATGCTCGTCCCTGTCCACCGCGAGATGCTCGGAGGAAGACGAGGATGACATGCCCATCTCTCCATCCTCGTCCGAAAAGGAGGACGTGGACCTGTCTGTCTCCCCCTGAACTCTCTCCCCTGCCCTCCCAATGAAAGATTTTGGTCCTCATGATTTTGAAAACTGCCAAAAAAAAGACTGAACCACTTGTGTTCAGTCGTCTGTACATAGAAAGAGAATATTTAATCAGGGATTTGCCCTGAATTATTGTATAGCTGTATACATGTTGTACGTTTTGTATGTAGTTTTTTTCTGAAAACGGTATAATTGTTTTTGCCAATCCCATGAGTATGGTAGGCATATTTGTAAAGACAAACCCGAATGACAAAAAGGAGAAACAACAATAACAACATCGTTTATTAGTGTTTTGGGGAAGACAGTATTTTGTATACATGGTTACCATACTGGTTAGACCCATTCTATGTGAATGGAGCTGTCAATTCAATTGTGGAAAGCTGGAGGGGCATTGCTGAGATCACTCTGAAATTATATCTTCAGTGTAATTGAAAAATATTTATTTATTTAAAAATGTTGATAAATAAAAATATTTCTGAGCGACAAACTTTGTTTTCGTGTGACTTGAACATTCTGGTTGTTGCGCGCCACTTTGTGCGCACTGTGGCGCGAGTCACTCCGGGTAAATCTTTTAGGTTAGGGCATTGAAAGTCTTCATACAGACGGGTGAGAAGAGAGGAGAATAAAGACTAACATCATGTGATATTATTTGGTCAAAATGTTAGCGTGAAATACGTTTTTTAATTCATGCATTTACATTTTCTCTGGCTCTATTTGTGGCATCATTTTGCTGCGCGTAATTCCAGACGTTAGACTATGAATTGTATTCTGTATGTTAAAAAAATATGTTTTAATATTCTACAGAGACGTAGAACATCTTGGATGTGTTCATATTCAGTGAAAAATACTTTGAAAAAGTATTGACAAGGTTCATAATCTTTGCTTAAAGAGTCCATAAGAAATGTAGTAAGAAAGAAAAACTCCCAGCCGGCACTCCACTCCACACACACACACATCAAATATGAGCTCGTATCTTGAAGGACATCAGGCTTTATGAAGTGAACTCAATCCTGGACGAGTAAATGAAATGCTCGATAATCTTTATCACTCAGAGGTGTTAAAAGACGTTGTTATGGGGGTTCTTTTATGTGCCTTCCCAGGGGGACACTAACAACAGATATCAGTGAGTAGCCCTTTGGAGCTCTTTTCAAGGTTCACCCCAGCTGCAATGATCCGTCTCGTGTGACTGAGTTAATAACCACTGAGGGTGTATAATGGTGCACCAGGAGTGTGCATATCTTAAGATATCGATCTAACATGAAAATAAACGAGGAAAAGACTCAGTTTGGTGTCCATGACCTATATTGTTGTTATTGTTCAAGCACCAGGGTGATCAAGTTTATTGTCGTTTTTATGAGCTGCAGGTGGGTTTCAGAATTCATACTAGCCACTTGACCTGGACAATATTAATCTTATTTTTAAATAAAGAATATAATAAATTAGCATAGATTTAAAATGTGTAGCAAATAAATACAAACTGAATCCACAAAGTAAAATAATATGCTGAGCCAGAAAATACCCAACAAGCTCAAACATATATTTGTTATTTTAGAGAGGGGAAAAACTCCAGTAGAAAATATCAAATTATATTTAAAAAACAAAATGTGATATATTTTTCCTGAAGATGTTAGTAAGTCTCCTGGTCTCTTCAATATCTTCAAAAAGACACACAAAGAGTTCAGCGTCTATCGTTCCAGATATTCGCCTACTTTACGCACCGCTACAGCTGCTTTTGAGTGAAGCCCTGATTTTTTAAAACTACATATATGAAGTTGAATAGGCTTTAAATGATATCTGCTTCTATACAAATGTGCCATAAAGCATTTTAAAAGGAGGAAAAACTTCTCAAATGCGTACAGCACGTTATCTACATCAGTGTGCCTTTTTTGGATGTGGAGTTTTACTCGTAAACGTTCCTTTAATTGTTCACTTAACCATTTTAACACAACTCTAATATTTGCATTTGTTAAGATATGGGATTAGACTATTTTGTTAATTGCACCATAGAGCTCCATTTTGCTCACAACGTCCTCTGCAAAGCACCCTTTATCCATTCAATAGCCCGAGGGTATGCGCCCTGGGGGAGCTTATGCTCGCTGCTCCAAATGCTCGATTTATTTATTCTTAATTTTGTGCCGATCAATTCATTGAAGCAAAAAGGACTACGGTGTCTTTTTAAAAAGAAGAAAAGGGAATTGTGGACGTAACCTTGACGGAGCTGAGTAGAGGGCTCCCCTGACGCTGGAGAGCCGCTTGAGTCAACAGGCGCCCATCTAGCAGACTCGCCCTTGTCTTTATTCCGGCTAATTTTTTATTTACGGCTTTTCTTTGACATGTCTCTTATCTATCAGATTAAAAGAACAGCTTGTAACAAATCAGTCTGCACGATTTACAACAGCATTAAAAGGGGACAAAGGGAGCAGGCAGTCAGTACCTGAGAGTCTGGTAGACGGCGCGGCGCTGCAGCTGATTCGATGGTTTGAAAATACGCACGAAACAAAATACTTGAATCCTGAAAAAGAGCCTTTGTACGTTTCTTTAGAAATCAAGCAATTCTGCATGACAAAGGACAATTAATAAGCCGTCTTTTCACGACCAGCAGCTGGTTTCCCCGTCAAGGAAAGTTGGAAAAAATTCAGACTGAATGCGCGCAAAAGCCCTTTGCGCGCAGACAGCAACCCAAGGTGACCCATTTGGCACAGTTAAAATAACCAAGCCGAGGTAAAAGCGAGGGAACTGTCAAAAACATTTAAGCTGAAATATCTTGAAATTGCAAATCCCTTTATGTGGAGGGACGCTGCCGATGTGGGTTAGTCGTACAAAGGAGGTGGTTAAGTTGGAGAGGCTTTGGAAACGGACACGTGGCTTCTCAATGAGAACTCTTTTGGACCCGCGTGGCTTGCTGTGGCACTGCACATTCAACTACTTTAAACTTATACAGCTTAGTGAATACAAGGAGTAAACCAAATATGTTAACTTGCTAACTTTAACAACATACTTTATAAACTTTTAAACACTTTAGCTCATTTTTAACAAGTTTATTTACTCGGTTTTTTAAGCCTCTCCTGGCTCCCAGCCTCGCCTGTGAATGCAAAGTACTGAGTTATTGTTGGAACAGATTGGAAAACGAGAATTCTTTAAACACGAGTTTAATGGTTTAATGCAGTGTTATCTTCACATTTCTTTACTTTATGATGTTTAATGCTTTCTATATTGCAAGATATTTTTCACCAACAAGTAGTTTACTGAAATATAACAGACGTAAATATGGAAATGTTTTGATTTTAAAATTGGAAATAGTTTTGCAGTTACGTAGGAAAAATCTGGTTCAATGTATTCTTTATTGTCTGTGTAAAGTGTTTCCTCCCATGTTTTGTGGACTGCATCCCACCGGGTAAACTTTCACTTACTGTATGCCTTTAAAATATTTGGACAAGTAACATTTTGGCATTAGCGGAGCTGTTACTGTTGACAAAATGTGTTCAGCCTGCTGAAGTGGCTCCGAATGAAACAGCTCAGCATCGCCTTGAACTCTGAGTGTTGAGTGGTGCAACATTTGAAGCCATTCAGCTGTGTATAATCTGTTTAACAGCTAATCAGTAATGTAAGATGAAGGACTGGCACGCAGCTTCACTCTTCCTCTCTTCTCTCCCCCCCCCCCTCTAATTGAATATTCAGCGCGCGCACCGTGCCCTGCATGCCTTTTTCAGCGTGCTGCAGGGAATAGCCTTTTTAATTCTCGGCCCAAACACACACAAGCAGTGTCAAAGGTCGGCAAATAATGAACTGCACAGACATGGAAGTGACCTCTGCAAGCGCGAGCGCAGCTCCGAAAATAAATGCTTCTGAAAGGGTTTTTTGTTCCATATAGTACATGTTAAATTTGGATGAAATGACAATAACATTTTCTATCGTCGTTTGATTGGTGTCACTTTCACACAGCTCACGTGTGGACGTAAACATAGACCGGAAAACCTGGACTGACAGGTCTACAGCTACCTGGTCAACAAGGTAAAAAATAAAACCTTAGATTTTCTTGCAAATAAACCTTTTTAGAAAACTGTTATAAAAACAACAACATCATTGTATCTCCCCATAGAGTAAACCATGCACATTTTTCACGGTGTATAAACTCTGTTTTATGTTTTAAACCAACACTTATTACGCACCTCGACTTTTGTGTTGCTTAATGTTTTGAAGATTCAGCCCAAATCTGATTCATGCAGCTGAATGTCCCTGTAGTGTGCAAGTTATTGGACTTTTCACATAATGACACAAGTATAAAGTAGGCGTTTATTTGTAATTTATTTATAACGATATGAGACACATGCACATTTTTTTTTTTTTTTTTGTCAAAGCAGACTGTACACTTGCAGACACATGGAGCAACAACATTTTTTTTTTTTAGAAGCATGGTTCTCATAATCATAGTGTTCTGTTTGCATATAAAAACATGGTCCAAAGCGAGTGTGGAGCACCGTGAGCACATTTTGTACCTGAGCGTCTGTTTATGTCACGAAGTGGAGCTGTAGCGACATCTGGTGGCCGAGACCAGCAATAGTTAGAAACATCAAGAAACTGCAGGTGCACACTGTAAAACTTTTAAACCATTTAAGAAAAGCAGAGGATGTTTTTCACAGTAGCCTGAAGTGTTCTTTTTTTTTTTGGGGGGGGGGGGGGGGGTGTCAAATATCCCAAGTCTGAACAAATAAGCAAGCTGCAGAATCACAGATGACCCCCAAAAAAAGGCCTCAACAGTCCGAGGGGGCCCCTTGAATGCCCGTCATTCACACAGCAGCAGCACAGCCTCTTTTATACCAGCCCCCTCAGAGAGCTGCTCACTGAAACAGTTTAGAGAAGTTATGAAATTCTCAGGAAACTTAGGAGGACAAAGAGTGGCATTTCCATCGAAAATAAATCCATGGATTTTTGCATATATCATGTAACACCTTCGGCAGTAGTATCATGAGGTCTGAAAACATTTGTGACAAATATATGTTAGGTAAAGTACTTAAAGGATTCAAAGCAGGGCTCAAAATCAGCCGGAATGTAGCAATCGTAAATATATGAGGAAGGTGTTCGGATTAAACGTATAAACTGAGTTCTTTCTAGTTTAACTAAAGTAAAGTGTCTGCCAAACCTCCACAAACCCTGCAGCTAAAATCAGCCCAAAACTGTAATCACTAATGTTTGCCCTGCACATCATGCTGATCTACTTTTTATACCAATGGACATTTTTAAAACAGTGTTTTATGCAGTGTTTGTTTATATTTATGTGTAATGTTACACAAATTGACTTTCTTTTTTTTTCATATTCTGTTATTTTAGATGATGTACTTCCTGCTTTATATTATTTGTTTACCTGCCCAGGGACAACAGATGCCAATTAGCTATTATCTAACGCTGGTGCTATTATATTTAGTTGTGCGCTGCCCCTGTAAAAAATTATCAATAAATAAAAAATAAAATAATAACAAATCTTCAACAATAGTGAGTGATGAATCTCTGTAGTAGTATTATATTTACTCGCTTTGTTGTAAACTACCAAATCATTTTGAGATCCCAAAGGTTTTATTTGAAATCTGAGTCCAGTTTCTCGAATAGCTTCTGGATAACATTGTTTTTGTAACATCCCTTCAGTTGATGATGTTAAACCCCTGGAAAACAAATCAATCGACAGGATACTTTAAAATGATCAAACAGCTGCAGGGAAAAGCGTCAAGTGATATAAAAAAAAAAATACAATAATAATATTTACAAGACTGTCTGATGGGATTTTCAAAACATTTTATTATCATAACTTTATGTTGTAGCAAAAGTCATCAAGTGTCTTATGTACATAACTCCAGAAGAGAAGACTCAAATTTCTCATTTCATTTATCCTTCATATTAATACACTTTACAAGTTTACAACAGTAATCAAAGCAAATAAAAAACACACTTCTCATCCTGTTTCTCATTGACTCACTCATCATTCACCCAGCCCATCCAGACTACAGTATAAAAAAAACACTGTGAGGAAATACACTGTAACTTCTTTGACATCCCAACTGTGTTATGTTCCCTGGAGCTCGCCCACAAATAGCACAACTTTACATCGTCATATCCTGTGTTTTTAAAATGTCTAGAAAAGGTCCAAAGACCTGGAGAAACCACCATCTGACTTTACCTCAACCACATTGAATACAGTCAGCGCGCACACACTCAGACTCCACTTTACTTTACTTTGTTTCAAAATCCAGACGAATAAAAAAAGATGACAAACGACACGCACAATAAAGACAGAAAACAAGATACACATGAAATAAAGTCCTTCTGTGGGTAAATACTATGTCTAATGTTTGAGATATATTTAAATCAGAAAAGGGAATTTCCTTTTTAAATATTAGTTTTAAAAATCACATTGACTTAAGTCTGTCACAGAGCCAACATATAGAATATTTATTGGTATCAAGTTTACTTCATAACATGTGTTACTAAAGGAATAAATAAAAAAACACGTCTTCTGTTCCACTGTTGCACAGTTTGTCCGTTATCAAGTTCATCTTCTGTTCACCTTCCCTGTGTGCTTTCTGTCTGTGCAGACTTCTTTAGATCAGTTCAAACTTCAATATGAATGTGATTTCATTTGTTCTCCAGGGTTTTGTTTGCCCCTGCAGACTCATCATGTACATTTCACTTTTCATAAAACCATGAACAAAATGAAGCCCCTGACTGGATATAAAACAGTATTTTGTCCATACTTCTGGTGACTCGCTGGAAACCTTTTTTCCTTTTTGCTTTAGTGAAAAGTATTTTTTTAAGAAAGGGATGATCCAAAGGGGAACTATTCAAACATGTGAGCCCGAATAAGAATTTGAATTCAACACAAAAGCCTGAGATTTTAGTTTTCTTGTTTTTGATCGAAATGTGTAACAATCAATCGATCAATCAAATATTTGTACAGCACCAATTCATAACAAATGTTATCTCAAGACACTTAACAAAAGAGCAGGCCTTACTCAATGTTATCTACAGAGACCCAACATAAATGTGTAACCAAATCAATTCTTTAGTTAGAGGCAATTTTTGGATATCAAGCAACGAGGGGGGGGGGGGGGGGGATTAAAGAGCTGTCTTTTTACGACCAGCAGCAGCAGTTTCCTCGTCAAGGGGAAGTTGGAAAAAATTCAGACTGCGTGACTCAACGGTCTTGAGTGTTAAACTAAACGTCCATCATTCTGACAGCAAATCATCCAGGAAGTAAATGTAGCATTAAGCTCAAAATTTCAACTGTTGGTGTGGCCCGTTTGCAATGGGAAACTGATGAGACTTTTTCATCATCTTATATTTTTATAGACCAAATAATAATTTTAAAACTGATCAGGAAAATAATGCAAAAAGAGAAACACTACAAAGTGTAGCCCCTACATCAAGCTTTAATGGCACATGAATATTTACTTCACTCTTTATCTAATACTTCACTGGTTGAAATAATCCTGAATATGTCAGAAAATTCTGGAATCATAGCAAAATAAATTCTTTGATCCCCATTAGGGTTTTCATATCCTTCAGTTTCTAAAATACGTTTTTTAATACTCGTCTATTTACATACACACATTCTCAGAGTTTGTGACTCTAGCTCCAGTCACTCGTTCTGTCGGTGGCTCCTGCTGTCGAATATCATGGACCTCCTCTGTGGCTGGTAGAAGCAGCTGGTCGATGTTTCTAGTCTCTGCCCACTTTTTGGAATCGTCATTTTACTTTGAAGAGGGATCCCCTCCGGCATCTCTTTGGTGAACACATTCTCCGCTGACGCATCATTCAGACTCTTGATGGACGAGAGGAGCCTGCTGTCGTCCCCTGACGGCGGGTAGTCCATGATGGGGAAAGGAGGGCTGAACAGGATTAGACTCTGAGGTCTCTGACGGTTCCTGAAGGACGGTCTTTGTAAAACGTTCCCTCTGGCAGGTCTGGGACAATCTACAAACACCTCCAGACTGGGCGCGTGTCTCCTCCTTATGACCGGCTGATCTGCAGCGGACGGTGTCTTTACAGAGTCGGTGCTACTCCCCAAATTCGCGTGTTTTTGATGTTTGAGGAGAGGCTTTTTATTCTCCAGCTCCTCCCTCAGGTCGGACATCCCGGGAGCAGGCAGGCTGATGCTCTTCTCTGCGTTCATTTTCGGACGCTCCTTTTCTTGCTCCTTCACTGCATGAAAGTCACTCTCATGTCTGGAGTGAGGTATCTGACTGTACTGCACCTTGGGAGGGACGACGGGCACGGCTTTGGCCTGGCATGTTTTTATCATGAAGGCTGTCCTCACTGACGACACGCTGACCGGGGCTGAGTTCCGGCGCAGAGGTGCCTGACGGTCACTCAGGAACAACTCCAGCTCCGAGGGCAGCCCGTTGTTGACAGTCCCAGAAGAAGTCTGCAACCCCTTCTTGCCGTAGGAAAACTCTGATGAGTTTCGGTTCTGCTGATTAGAAATGTCCCTGATGCACCGCTGCCCAAGATCTAAATTGAGCGAGTATGGCCGGTGTTTAGAGAAGCAGTTGTCCTCCCTTCTCTCTGAAGCGGCTGCCTCGTGCGACATCTGTCTGTAAAACCTCTGAGATGATGCTGTGTTCTTCTGTTTTGTCGAGCTACATTTTCCTGCGTGAAGTTGACTTTCATTGCTGCTGTTCGCACGAACCCGTGTCGGCACCGACGGAAAATACATCCAGTGAGTCTCTGGTTTGGAGCTGGTGGTCTGAGGAGGGTTTCCTGAGACGTTCTCACTGCTCTTAATGACAGATTGTTTGTTCCCATCAGACGAAGGAGAGGAAATCTCCCCTTCCTCTGAGCTCAGAGTTTCCAGGTGAGAACTGAACGGTGAGAGCTGGTTAAACAGCTTCTCTATGTCTGGTGAATGGAGGGGACTAGTGACCCACTGCTTGGTGGAACTAAGATCATCCCAGGGCTCCTCCAAGTCCAGCTCCTCTGAGTGTCCTCCGCTTCCATCGTCCTTGTCGAGGATCGGCAGCTCCAGGGTCTTACGTCTCTCTTCCAAACACACTGAGAGCCTCTGAATGACTTCCAGCTCTGGAATCCCACTCTTCTTTGCTCCATGACAGGAAAAGATTTTGTCTTTAGAAGTTTCATGTTTCTCAGTTTTATCTGCTGCTGAGGAGCCTTCGACCGTTGAGGTTTCCTCTATCGTCAAAGGACTTAGAAACGTTTCCAAAGAGGTTTCCTTTAAAGGAGGCTGGCTCTGTTTGGTGTCAGCTGTGTCTTCTTTGTTTGAGGGGGCAAGTTTTGGTTGCGGTTTCTCTTGCGCCGTGTGAGCAGTGCAGACATTTAACTGAATTGTTTTGGGAGAAAACGAGATGTCAGACTCCGAGGGCTGTTTCTTCGCAGGGTTTGATCCGCCTGCAGCCGCGAGATCACTCAAAGAGGTATTTGAAGACTGCTCCCTAAATAACAGAGACAGTGAAGGGGAGCTGCGACTTCGCTTTGACTTTACGTCCGCTGTTAACTTTGTTCCCTCACAGGTGCTCTTGAAGCCAAAAACAGGTTTGAAGGTCTTATCAAGCAGGTCAATCTCAGGTTCAATTATTTTCAGCTCCTTCTTGAGGTCAGGCCAAGGCTCTGTCCCAGAAGAATATCTTTTGTCCTAGAAAAAAGTAAGGATGAGAAACAGGAGTGAATACATAGTGAGTTTTTTGCACTTAGACAGACCTTTGACTTCTTACAGCTTAGGATAACTCAAACAATATCAGAGCAGTATTCACTCATGTAACCTCACCAGAAGTGTTGATACTGGAGGGGTAAGAAAACTATTTCACTAAAAAGTTACAGCTCGAAATAACAAACAAATACTTTCTCTATTTTTTTTAATGAATGTTTACGCGATAATAAAACCAACAGAACAGAAAACATAGGCTCTGACGAAAGATACAACTATAACTCTGCCCTATTTGAAGCATAACAAAGCAACATGCTTTACCAGTTTCCCAGCTACAGGCTGGATTTGCGGTTCTGCACCAGGAGATGGCGCTGTTTCTCTTCCTTGTGATGCATTTTCAAGGGAGTGTGGTTCCAGTTCAGAAATGTTCATCCCTTCTTGGCCTTCTTGCACCACTTCTTTGCTTTTATCTGTTAAAAAAAAAAAAAAAAGTGTGTTGGATTTATTACATCCTGTAACTGTTGCATGACTACAACAAGCCATTTTAAAAATGACTTAAAGTGAGATATCCTCACCCTGTGGCGTGACTCCAGAGGTCTCCTCCTCTGTGTTTTTCTTCTCTGTTCCTTCCTGCTTCTTTGCTTCCAGTTGGGGGAAAGTGTTGCTCTTTCCACTGCTGCCGCTCTGCTCGGAGCTCTCTTTGGGTTTCAGAGTGGACGCTTTGTCCTTGGCCGGCCCCCTGCATGGCGTGCTGTTGGTGCTGATAACGGCTGACACTCGCAGCGGCACGGACACCGCGAAAGGCTCAGATATGTTGATGGCTCGACGCTGATGCCTGGGAGAGGACTCAAGTGGAAAGAAACTACCAGGAAAGGAGGGTCGAGAGGAGCTGTTGTGAGAGGAGCCCGAGTACAACATCCTTCTATTTTTAGGAGAGGTGGGCCGGTAGCCGCTGAGGTCGTCACCTTTGAACACCTTCAGTTGCTCTGGTAGTGTTTTCTGAGGGGCTGCAGAGGCACCTTGTGACCCCTTGTCATTCATGGAAGAGGTCCATCCCCCAGTGGCCCCGCCCGCTTTGTTCCCTTTAAACTCCCAGGTTTGGTCGTGTTCACTGAGGTCATAGAGCGAGTCAGAACCCAGAGTTCGGGATTTAACATCTGGAACAAAATTGCTGCCGGCTCCACCAGCTGGACTGTTGCTTCCTGCTCTGTCATCATCTGATTAGAAATAAAATAACACATGCATAAGAAATCATCAGTTCACAGTAATCGATCAACAACCACCATTTTATCATGGGGCCAAGACAAGCTTGCAATTTTGTAATGAATATATCTGTTGTATTCCGACCTGTTGGTAAGGAGCACAAGGACTCCATGCTTCTGGACGGACGAAGAGCTGCCTTTTCTGTAGAAAAACAAACATGATTGAATTCAGTTCTGTAGAAAAAAACAACACATCTCAAATTTGGAATACGCTGTGGATTAACTTCAAAACAATTAGAATCTTCTGTGACAAACTTCTGTCTGCTTATAATCAAATCCAGCAGCAGTGTGGAGCATTTAAAATAACTCATTGGACAAATCTTCTCCCCTTAAGGTCTTGTTTACTTTTGTCGGTCATAAAGAGGCAACAATATCTGTTTCAGTCTGTTTCTTTTTTAGTTTTTTTGGGGGGGCTTTTAATGCCTTAATTTAGAGATAGGACAGTGGATAGAGTCAGAAGGAAGAGAGAGAGAGAGAGGGTGGGAACGACATGCGGGAAAGGAGCCACATGTGGGATTAAAACCCAGGCCGCCCGCTCTGAGGACCACAGCCTCCTCACATGGGGCGCGTGCAATAACCACTAAGCTACTGGTGCCCCTTCAGTCTATTTCATAACCAACCAAAAACTCCTTGCAGGAGCTTTTAAAAAAGAGCAGAGCCGTCAACAGAACAGGGTTAGAGTGCTGGGGAAAACCTTACAAAAACTATATCTGCAAGGCTGGATTATTTTTCCTTCTCAAGGAATCATTTTATCACCACATACGTTTAGCTTGCAACACTTTGTTGATTAGTTGCCACTCCTAATTGTTCTTAAACGATTGTCTTCCATAAGATCATTCCCTTTCTTTTCCTGGGTTTGGTTTGAGAAGTGTGTTCATAGTGGACCGTCTAAGACTGCAGAAATAGCAACATGTAATACATTTAGCTATCTGTCCTGTCGTGTATTGTACTGTGCATTGATCATTGTTACCTTTCATCCCCTGGCCTCTTATGAACACACTGCCATTCCGGCTCAGTTTCCCCTTGGTGTCCACAGAGCGTCCCAGGTTGAAAATGGACTTCCACTTCTTTGATTTCCCAGAAAACTTTCTCCTAACAGATAAAAAGAGAATGTGAGGTTCAGTGCTCTCTCGCTGCTCGCTCTCACACACTGTAAATACACTCATTGTACATGCATCAAACTTTACACATACTGTTTGTGAGTGTGACTTATAATGGCACAGTAGACTGAACTCAATCTGTACTCATACTTGCTGTCAGACATGTCTATGACGGTGTGGTAGAGCATGGCGGTGCTGGTGTCAGGCAGGCTGTTCTCCCGCTGGCGTTCTCTATGTACAGGATGGTTTGGACCTAAAGAACGGGCCTGAGCTTCCTCCAGGCTCATCAGTTTCATCGGCCCACCCTGAGTACTGATCGGGAGTGTGGCATACTTCTCCCCACACATCAGACCTGAAGGGACACAATTAGCCAGTTTATACAGTGAGGAGATATCACATTTGAAAAAACTATGATCTCCCGTAAAAAGCTTGCATATTTTTCAATACCTTCTTTGGGTTTGATTTGCACAGAATTGCTGCTGAAGATCTGCTCTGTGTGATTCAGAATGAACTCAACCACCGACTGTTGGATTCGCACCTCCTGGAAAGCCATGTCGCCATTCGCTGATGACGTCTCTATGTCTTTAGATCTGTGAGAACCAAGTGGAAATAAGAAGAAGAGAAATCTTTTTTTAAGAACTTTCGGTTAATGTCTAATGTTGGTGCCCTAGTGTGGACGACGCAGTACGTCTCGTCTCTTTGCTGATTTAGTCGTGCACGTGTGTAAACAGTATTGTTATTTAACCAAATATCTCACCCTGTTCTTTTCTTTAAGCAGTCAAATGTACAGTCTGTTTCATAACCAGCTACAAACTTCTCATGGTAGCTTTAGATATGAGAACTATTTAATATTTTCCAAAAAATTGCTTCAGAAATGAAAGTTTCTCCCTCTGCATTAATAGCGAAAAGCTATTGCAATTTTATTTATAAAGGCCATTTCAGAGATAAGCTCAAAATGCTTTACATTTAGGGTAAAAATTGAGAGGAATATGAGAATAAACAATTGTTTCCACAGTCATGATAAAGATATTGAAATAAAAACGTAAAAATCAGACACAACACCTAGTGATCAAACACCACAAGAGTAACTACTCATATGCTGGGAGAATAGATAGGCTTTGAGGTTATGTTTAACAGTAGAGGTTAGTTGTACAGTGATGGACCTGAGGTCAGCAGGTAGGTTGTTCCCGAGAGAAGGACCACAGAAACTAAAGGCCTCCTCTCCCGGCTTCCATCACATAACAATAATTACAGTGTATTGTTTATAGATCAAATGTTTCAAGCACATTTTTTAACATCACTCACCTTAACAGATTTGGAGCCCAAACCAGAGCCAGGTTACGTGTATGCATGTTAGTCTGGGTGCTTAAGGTGGCGAGGTGGGTCAAGTGCTTAGTGAGGTACTCCAGAGTCCTAAAGACAGTGGAAAAAAACACATTTAATACGACGGCGACATGTGTAAAATGTAGCCAACCAGACTTTATAAATTAGAGGTTTTTACTACTGAGTGTTAAAAAAGGCTCAAGGGCTTAAGTTCACCTGAAATGAGGAGTGGGCAGTTCTTTGATGACCCTCTGAATGTGTAATAGCCTCTCATGATCCCCCTTGACCGAGGCCGCGTCCTGCATGTGTAACAGAAATAATAATTCATATCCAGATGCTGGTTAACACTCATCACTGTGTTTAACCAGCATTGTGTGAATTATTTATTGTCAGGTCATGATCATGACTGTCTGGTCCTTAAGTCATTGCACTTATTTAAAGCCCCTCGTGTAAGGTTTGAGGAACCCCTTTGGACCAAGCTGTGCATCTTATCTCTTTTCTGAGCTTGTCATGCATATGCCTAGGTAGCGTTTCATGAAAAAATAAATCCGTTTAACAGTCAAATGCATCACATAGTATGAATATTTGCTGTAGAAACTGTGAGAAAAAAAAAAAATGCAGTTTCTGCAGCGTGCTATAAATCGTCTGACACCTACCCCTTCACAGTTTTATAGACGTTAAAAAGGATCATACAGAAATAGTCCTTTTTGTAGATGATGGTCTCGTTTGCTTTTGTACTTTATGTAGAGCAGTTTCAGTCTGTCTCATAAACACTTAAAAACTCCTCACAGGAACTTTAAACCCATTATATGAATTGTGTGTGGTTTCTGCAGATGTTCTGAAACACTCTCTAAAAAGGATTCCTCTGTTTGTTGATGAATTGTGCACACACCCTTACACAAACACAACTTCAAAAAAAACATAATTATTCCTCCTAATGACAATGTAAACAGGATCAATGTGTTAATGAACAGGACACTGTATGATCGAGCATGCATCCCTGCTGAACACGTGTAAGCAGACACGCTAGCCTGCGTGCAGTCAAACTCATGTGATTCAGGCCCAAACAGCTGAGCAGGTCAGCTCTATTTACTAGTCACAAAAACAGGTCTTTGTTAAAAAATGCTTGTGCCAGTTTAGGTAATGTCCAGAGCACAAAGACTAACCTTTCAAGGAGATACTCAACAACAGATGTGTAACTTTAAATTGTTCACTGTACAACACTCAAATTTCTACAACAGGGTAACTTTGCATTGTTCTTTTTTTTCCACAACATCACAGCATGAGAGTAAGTAATTGTTCCTAAAACAGTGGAGCCCTTGAGTTTTCATGCACACACAGTACGACATCTATAAATGCCAAGGTATGCAAATGACTCAGTTTGTACACAGAGAGCTCCACAGAAATCAGGAACCAGGGCCCGGATTCATGAACATTCTCTAAAGACAAAACTTAGGAAGTTCTCAAGAATGTTCTCAAGTGCAATTCTTGATTGTTTTCTTAAGAAAAGTGTCATTTCTTAAGAAATGCTGTTGGGCAGGCATATAGCCCTGTATAATGAGTCTATTCCTATTCATTGGGGGGAACATAATTGACTTAAGGACTGAAATGTTATTTTAATACATTGTAATAAGCATGTTTGTCAACATTATAGCTGTAGAAAACAGATGGGGATTTTTTTTATTGACAACCATGTTTATGATTTACTTAAATAAATAACTTAAAGTAAAGGGAAACATTTTAACATTAGTTAGTTACTTTGGGTGAAGGCAAATTCGATTAGAATTATACCAGTCAGATGTGCTATCTTATTTTCAGGAGTACCAGAGACATGAGACTTAAACCAAGAACAACAGGGTCAAGCTAAAATTAACGACATATGTAAAAGACAAATTTAGTAAAACTGAAAATCAACTGAAATGTGTTCAAATTTAAGAATTTAGAGGCTTACCTTGCCTCTCTAACAGTTTTAGGACAAGTGTAGTGTGAATTTAAAGTGTAGAAGAAAATTTAGGATGAAATTAAAGAATTTGAAATCTTCTTTTGTCTTAAGACGAAAGTTAAGAAGAAATCAGACGTATTTTTTTTCTTAAGAAGGTTTTGTGAATCAGGCCCCTGGTCTCAAAGTTTGCTTCTCCTGTTTCATAACCCCTGCTATTTTCTAAAGTGACATTCAGACAGAACATGCAGCTGCAGAGTTTCTCTCTGGTCCGCATTATAAAGATGATGTCATTCATTGTAAATTGGGGGATTTTGCTTCATTCAAATCTTTGAAACTTTTCAGTGCATCAGGATACTTTTTTATTTGATAGAAGGGGCCAGGCAGTAAGACAGCCAACAAAAACCCAGAACATAAATAATACAGATCAGTCTTATACAGTAAATGCAGCGCCATATTTTTCTGCTTACGAGGCAGCAGTATTACTACTTTTAAAAACAAAGATGACAAAGATGATAGACGACTTAGATTAAATTCATGTTGTTTTGTCATACATGCTGGAAGTTGAGTTGACATCTTTTAATGGCTCTTTATTCTCCAGAGAGGAGATGAAGACATCTGATTAATAGTGAGCTAGAGCCTGAGGTCACACACATGAAAATGATAGTAAAGATGTTTTATAGACTGCTGACATAAATATACAGAGAGGCCATCTGGTATGAATGCTGCTTATTGACATCTACAGTCAGAGTTGCCATTCTGTTTATTGCATGAATTTCCAGATGATCTGCCGTCAGACCGCTGCTTTGATTCTTTTTTTTTTTTTTTTTCTAGTAAATGTAACATGAATGTACTCACAGTGAACTTGCTGTAAAGCTCGTATGTGAGCAGAGGATTGGGAAGCTCCCTGAAGTACAGCTTACATAAGGAACCCACACAGTGGATGTCCTGGAGGTACACTTCCTTTGTAAGGTCAGGGCACGCCTCGGAGCCGGAGCTGAATTCCTGCCTGCAAACACACACACACACACACACACACACACACACACACACACACACACACACACACACACACACACACACACACAGTTAGCTGAATACTTTGATTGTTTAACACACTGTTACTTTTGACGCCATGTTTGATTGAAGTTTTTCCGGATGACTAATGATATAAAAGCAACATATAAACAGCGACAAAGATGCTCAGCAAGCTAAATAAAACAAGTATTCAATATTTAAAATACACTGGCTCTTAAAAAGGATAGTTTAGCTACCACTTCCTTACATTTTGTTTAAATTGATTCTGAATAGGGCTGCACACTTCAGTGTAATTTCATAGCTGTTGCAATATGAGCATTTGTAGTGAACACATCTCAAGAGTCTGAACTAGTTGCAATGAATGGGAAAAAATCTTAAATGTAAAACAAGCAATGCTTTTTCACTTATCACTTTCCCTCTTTGATGGAGGTCTGGCTATAATCATCATGCTTTCACATGATATAAATACTGTCAGTTAAAAGTTAAAGTAGCTGTCTGTGACCGTCTGATGAATTGGTGCCAATGCAGTGGTGATTTATCTTATTTATTTATTTTGGAGTTGGGAGGATCATGTTGCAGACACAGGTATTGTGTGACTCATAAAGAAATATGCACTCTGTAATATTTATCCCACTTTATCACATAGTTTTCTCAGCAGGCCTAAATCAGAGCAGCGTCAATTCTACTCTTTATATTATAGCTGTTATAAATAGAGAATATGCAAACTTAACTAAACATCACTTGACATATATTATCTTAAATACAACATCACTAATAAAAAGAAAAAAAATTGACAACATTAGCGTAAAGAACTGCCAAAGTTAAAAGTCAATGTGCTCACTCTGCTATAGATTAGGGCCGTTAAAAGAATGGATTTTAACTGGTTAAGAAGTGTTCCTTTTTAAATTCTCATGCTATATATCACGTTTCATGTTTGAGGTTTTCTATGACTGGAGGTTTTTTGGTGTTGCGTTAGTACCTGAGGCGCTGGATATTTGAGGTGACCCCCGACAGTCTGTAGATCCCGTCCACCACCCCATGCTCCTCGATGAACTCTGCACATTTAATCAGAACCTGAGGAACTGAAGTGTAGAAATCATGTTAGTCATAAAGTGTGACAAAGGAACACATTTTATGAAGTCCACATTTTCACACACTACACTTGGTGAGCACATTAAACCCTAACAGAAGAGGAAGGAAGCTGCAGTCAATGCAGTGTCTCAGCAGTAACAAAGCACATACTGTAAGGCTGGCTTCATGGTATGGGGTTTGTTCCACCATGTCTGTTTTGTATTCCTTAGGGCCGCTGATTGTAGGTGGACTGTGTCAGGAAGTTAAAAATGGTTTGTTTGTTTCAGAGGAAGGTTGACACACCCAGTCCTTGTAGCTGGTATTACTTACGACATTTCCTCTAATAGAAAACTGCTTTTGAAATGTTACCAGTCACCGACAGTACACAGCTTTGTGCATGGCAGTTCATCACCTTCTGTACACAACTGTGCTAGGCAGCACTTTAAAAAAAAAAAACAGTTTAACCGAGGCGCTGGAGCTTCATCACATGCTCTACCTCTGTGTGTGAACACAACGACCCTTCAGATAATACTGAGAATCACTCTTGATTGCTAAAGCAAATGTACTTGGAAAAAGCGGATTATGAAACTGAATGTGTCTTTGATTTGGTTTTGGATTAAAAGGCAGACAATCCAATGTTTCTCTCATCTCAGACTAAACAAGTTCCATTCATTTGATGCAGAAGCTTTTCTTTGCATTTCACATAATCTGAGCAACATTTGGAGAAACACTCCAAGATGTGCTTTATATAAAGCAGTAATGAGTTATTACTGTATGTGTCAGTGCATGTTGAAAGAGGGACCTCGGTATTCACTCGTGAAAAAAGTCAATAATATAATGTCTATATTGCAAAACATTACTTTTAACATGTTTTTTTGGGCTTCAAAATCTGATTATTTCGGAGCTGCATTGAAGAATTGAAAATAACTTGAATGAATCCATTGATTGATTTAAGTATTTATTTTACTTCTTTATGAGGGGTGGATTTCTTGGAGTCATACATGTAGCTCTCATACTTTCTCTTACTCATACTTCGTCTTTCGTTATTTCTCTTCATCAGTTTACTAAATATAAATATTTTCTGAAGCAAGATTTGAGATGAGATCATCTTGGGCTTGTGGAAACCCACACATCGACATTTTTCTGCTTATTCTGGCATTTTACAGACCAAACAACAAACAGTTTTTTTAAGAAGATAGTACAATAGACATACTCAAGTGTAATCTCTTAATGATTATTCTATCGTTTTTACTTCTGCAGACTTTATCACCTGGACTGAAATCCTGTTATTTTGTCTCTTGGTGTGACGTATAGAAATTCTCATCTTGCAAACAAATTGAAGAGTCATTTCAGCGATGCTTAATTTCTTCTGAACCACCCCAGACACCAAGAATCTGCTATTTACATTCTCGTCTCTTTGATTGAATTGGTTTTTAAGTGACATGCCTGTGGTCAAATGCTGGAGGGAAACGAAAAAAAACTCTGGAGCCTTCCTCTCGTGCCTCTCAGACTCTGCAGCGAGGGAAAATCCCTGCTCCTTTTTGGAAGTGACTTTATGATAACACATGAAATGATAAAAGCGTGCGACATGTTGTGAAGTCAAAGTTGGAGTCCGTGAAAAAGTCGACTGATGGAAGTTGTTACTTCAATAATCTTACATGCTCCATTAACCCGGTGATGAGCTTCATATAAACTTTTAAAAGGCCAACAATCGTTTGACTTTAGAGGTTTAGGGCCAAATCCACATTGCCTCATTTGGAAATGTAAGAAGATAAAGTTAGTGTGTTTCCCTCCTTCAGACAACTCATTTTAGCTTGTTTGCTGATTTGCAGAGTTGTCATAAACAACTTACACAATAACTTAATCATGACTCTTTTGTCTCTCTGAGGCAGGAGGTGTTAGTTTCACATCCTTCCACATCCAACCAAGGCTGTGACGCAGGATTTCTATTGCTCAATCTTAATTGCTCACTATTGTTTGACACTTTGCTTTAATCGCACTGAAGTGAAGGATCTGGAGTTTCTGCTTTTGAATGGTGGTTTGACGAGCACTGTGCGATCTTAGTGTGTTGATGTACAACTCATGGAGGGTTCAAAATAACTGAATGCGTTGTCAATATATTTTCTTTGCAACATTAATGATAAAACATGATACGTTTCCTCTCCTGACACACTAAAGTAGAGTTTAGATCTTGTGGATACATACTCACTGTTAGGATTTGGGAAAATAAAGTTTTCTTTTATTGTCACTAGATATATTTTTCATCAAGTTTTTCACTACGTTCTCGTGTTGTGCAGTTGATTTCTTTTAAAGAGCAGTAACAGTGTAATGCACCTACTATTTAAAAAACACAATATGTCTGCTGGACATCCATGATGGAGGGGTACACCCTAAACCTCCTCCCTCACTTCCTGCACCAAACGCTCCGCCTTACAGAGCAGCAACTTGTAGCAGGTCTTCCTCAAAGTTATCCTCAACACAAGGATTCATATCTCTCGGCACGTGGGGGATTTATGGTCACCCTTTTTTTTTTTTTTTTTTACGACTTATCAGGGTACTCCCTTCCCAACGTATGAGATAAAGATGGCAAGAAAAGAACAAGGCATACAATAAGAGGAAAGAAAAAAGGGAATAGAGGCAGACAAAAAAAAACCCTTTCAAACCAACCTGACTACTCATCTGAATATTCAATGACACATTTTGTCTCCGGGCTTTCTATTCTTGGCTCATGAATCTTCTCACATCCATCAGCAGCAACTCCGCCCGACTCTTACTACTCATAGAAGCTAAAGTCAGTTTAGGAAATTGAAAAAAGAGCCACACCCAAAGTCACAAATGACCATTTAATGCAGCCAATGGGAGAATGAATGGCCTTTCTAAATGTAAAACACATGTGTACATTTTACTTTATTGGGTATCAGACTTTGAATATGTCCTAAATGTATTCTTAAAGACACTGTTTGTCTTTTCTGTCTTAATTTCACATATTTATGTTTATTTAAATGTTATTATAGCATCAACAATTAGGGGAATAATTAAGTTTCAGCCTCAGTTTGAATGTTATTCAAATAAGTGTTCTCGTAAAGTCAAAGTGTGTAGCCTATTGTGAAGGAGTTTAAGGTTTCAAAGAAAGCAAAATCCAAAGTTTACCATCTTGTCCGGAGTTCTGGAGATGTTCTGTCAGGTCACAGCCGAACGCATTTTCACTCCCTTTCTTTTTGGACTTGAGCTTATTCCCTTTATTCTTCATGTGGCTCCAGTTAGTGGTCCAGATGATTAAAACAAACAGATCCCTGGAAGCTCGCCGATCGATCCATATGACCCTGAGAAAGGTTGAGTTTGTGGGTCAAAAAAGCAGCCGCATAGAAAATCCCAGCAATCAGCTCCCAAATGTCTGCATCCGCTCACATTCTGACTAACCACAGCACGGTCGGAGGCTGAGAGCAGAAGTGACGTCACATTTTCAGCTTTAAGTCCTTTAGGTTGTCATGAGTTCAAGACAACATTTTGAGGAGAACATACGTGCTGTTTTGCTTGGACGTGGCAGACTGCTGCTTTATCTGTGAAGGATTTGCAGAAACAGCATTAGAACCGGTCAGTTTCCTGTTGTTTTTTCACCCCCAGCCAGTCTCTGCTCCTTTATCTCCTCCTCTTTTCCTTCATTCCACTCACAGTCTCCCCTTTACACTGGCTTCTCTGTAGCTGAGGAAGCGTGCCTGTATGTTTGAGTGGCAAATTCCCTCAGGAATCATCTGGGTTCTGTTTGTTTTTTACACATATTTCCACTTTGAGATTTTTCAAATACTCTACGTTCAGAGATGGACTCGTGGCAGGGATTTTTTGAAATGTTGAGACTTTGTAAAGGGGAGGGGAAGTGAAGCGAGGGGAGGAGAACAGCTGACTTCTGTTCCTCTCCTGGTTTAGAAATTACTGACCTCTTTTATTCATTTATTTTCATGTGCCCAAAGTGGGAGCTGACGGGAAAGCTGCTCTCTGCCTTCCTGAATGCTCCCAATGTATACAATTTCCTGTGCAAAGAGCCCGGGCTGGAAAACAAAAACAGACGGGTTCTGAAGGAAGAGGGAAGTGGGAGGTGACTAAAGTGAGGGCCTGAAGGGCACAGATGGGAAATGAGGGGGGGGGGGGGAGAGAGATGGACGACACACATGGTTCTTGTTACTGCCGTGCATTTCATGCATTTCTGTTTTAGGCTGGACTACAACTTCATTATAAAGAAATAATTTGCAATAAGTTACATTACTACTTTTTGTCTGGACTAAATGTAATTAATATGTAACCCTGCATTCTCAACATTTAAAAATAATATCAAATCAACTTAAAACCACAAAAAAACAAAGACAATCTAGTCTAGTCAATGCAGTGAACAAACAGAATGTTCAACTAGTTTTACATTTGTCTGAAAAAAAAGACACAACAGTGTCTGACTTAAAAGGACCTAAACTAACCTACACTAGGTAGATATAAAGACCAAAACATTTTGTCACCACGAGAAAAGCAGGAGCTGAATGATTTTGGTGTTTCCGATCTCATACCTCCGATGCATCATAAAAGTGTTAAACAAGTTTTCAAGTACTATAAGACCTAAAGGTGTGGAATGTGATGTGGAAAACCACTAAAATCTAACAAGTCTAACAAATAACAACTAAGTTAAATGGGCGCAGCAGCTCAGTCTATACAGGGACTTGGATTGGGGACCGAAGGGTTGCTGGTGGGCCAAAGTATGGAAATTGGTCTGGTAGCTGAAGAGATGCAAGCTCGCTTTCCGAGCACTGCTGAGGGCCCCTTGAGCAAGGCAACTAGCATAGTGACAATTTCATGTGCACTTTATAATTTGCTGAGGACATAATGACGTAACAATGATCAATGAAAACTAAAATCATCAACCCACTGAGGACTGGCAAAATCACACCGAAAATCACCGTAAAAACAAATTAAAATCACAAGCTGATCCAACCTGCATGAATTTTATCACAGCATTACTTCATGAGTCATAGTAGTGTGTATGGCCCCAACAAGCCTGTATGCACTCCTAACAACGTCTGGGCATGCTTCTCATTGGATGGTTTCCTGGGGGATCTCCTCTCAGACCTCGATCAGGGCATCAGTGAGCTCCTGGACAGTCTGTGGAAGTAACTGGCAGCGTTGGATGCACCAATAAATAAAATCCCATAGGTGTTCAATTGGACTTAGGTCAAGGGAATGAGAGGGCCAGGCAATTGCATCAATACCGTCATCATCCAGGAACTGCCTACACACTCTGGCCAGATGTCCTGCACTGAGGATTTCATCCCAGCACCTAACGGCAGTCAGGGTACCTTTGCCTATGACATGGAGGTCTGTGCAACCTTTCAAGGATATGCCTCTCCAGACCATCATTGACCCAAGGCCGAACCGGTCATGCTGGATGATGTTACAGGCAGCATCATTTTTAACCACTTCGTCTCCAGATTCTTTCACGCCTGTCACATTTGTTGAGTGGGAACCTGCTTTCATCTGTGAATGAGATCCCCCCCCCCCCTGGGGGAGACAGCAAACCTTGTGATCGCATGTATGGATATGCTATCCTGGAGGAGCTGGACTCCCTATGCAACCTGACTGGGCTGCAGGTACCACCTCATGCTACTAGTAGTGACAAGGAAACTAGCAGAACATACAACTAGAGAAGAATCAGTCAGGAAGGATAAGGAGGCAGGAGGCAGGACATGACGTTAAAAGGACAATAGGACAACAGCAGAGGAAGCACATGTATGTATTCACAGTACCAATGAACGAGTAGTAGAGAACATACAAGCAGGAAAGAACATTAAGCAGCTTCACTTTGTACACGTTGATCGCAAAGGTCACATCATCCCAAATCAACTCTTTTCTTAGCTTGCAATTCATTTCTTGAACAATTTGTGGTGCGAGCCGTTTACCCTGACTTCATGATTCAGCTGACCCGGAAAAGGAGATATCAGGAGTTTTGTGCATCATGTGAAAAGAACAAAGTACTCACTTCTGCAATCTCTGCAGAGTTTTCAGTCTACCTGACCTGCACGACTCTGACCAGTGGAGAAAAAGTAGAGGAAACTTACTGCTGTATGGAAAGTCACCGCTGGGCTGCGGGACTGCTCTCAAATAAAAAAAAATATATATAATTTTGTTGCATTTTGCATTTTGATGATGAAAAAGCCAAGTTTATATCAAATATTTTTCAGGAAGTTCAAACTTGTAAAACTGGGGGGAAAAAGGGTTAGTATATTTACAAGCAGTAACAATATGGTAAACAACGTAGGGCATCATCACTATTATTTAACGCATCTCAATGGGCTGGTTTGTTGGGTAGATCAGAGTGTTCTGACTTGCAGAGTTCATATTTTGGTGCCCAGTGTTTTGTGAATGTCACATGCGAGCTACATGACCAGGCCAGGCCTCCACAAGACAAAGCTTTCTTTCTGCACCATAGGAAGAGGAGATGACATCATTCTGTCCATACAAAGCCTAAGGCATCCCGCTGCACTTGTTTAAAAAAAAAGAAAAAAGAAAAGGAGTCTACACTGAGAAGTCATTTCATTGTTTTGGAATAATACTTTTTGAGCATGGCCTTTTTCCCCTTGCATGATGCAATGTCTTGGTAGATATGAAGCATAATTTGGCTTCTGCTAAATGCCAGAGGGCGGAAATGATGCAATCAGGGAAACAGAAAAGATGTTCCTTTTCTACACAATGTTTTTGATTTGGTCAGGGCTTTCAATATTAACAGTAATATGCTCTCTGTTCTAAATGCTCAAACAGAAACTGGGAAAAGGGCTTTTGGGTATTCTGCACCCGCAGCCTTGAATCTGTTGCAGAATGACTTAAAACTCAAGGAGCTGGTGTCCTTAAATGTTTTTAGATCTAAAATGAAAAACCTGGACGCAGGATGTTGATGCTTTTAGCTTGACTTCTGACTCTCAGATTTGACTCATATGGTTCTCTTTCAAAGCAAATTTAAGTGTTTTTGTAAATTGTACTGTCTCTCTTTGTTTCTCTGTCTGTAACTTTGTGTTTTTGCTGCTGCTTGTCTTGGCCAGGTCTCCCTTGGAAAAAAAGATTCTTAATCTCAATGGTACTAACCTGGTTAAATAAAGGTTAAATAAAATAAATACAAATATGCAAGACATTTCTCAGAATTAGTATTTTTCAGACTATCATTGCGGCTGCACAAAGATTGTGTCATAACTTGCTAAAAATATGTCAACAAACCACTTTTGTGTTAATCTGTTTAAGAATCAAAAGCCTAAATTTGACATTTATTTGGTTAGGCTTCGTGACACCACACAACACTATGACTACAAATTAATAAAACAGAACCATGATGTGTTAAAAACATGAAGAAAATCAAACCGTCACAGAAATTATTACACATGCCTCCAGTGGAGTATTTGGTGAATTGTATCTGCCAAATGAAGCCGAGTGTAAATTTATGTTCTGTAACACGTTCATTCTTTTTCCTTTATTCAATTTAGCCACTACCTCTCTTCCACTCTCTCCGTCTCCCTGCTCAGGTAATCAGCTGATGGGTGTTTACTCTTTAAGTAATTAACCAACCAGATTCTTCCGCAACCTCTCTCTACCAATCATCCTGCTGCTGTCAAAATTTTAGTCGGTTCTCCCTGACAGATTGAAAAGACAGTCTGTTTTATTGCGCTCTCTGTGACTTTCTTACAGAACAAAAACATACTGAAAACAGTGATTGAGATTGATTATGAAGTAATAGCCTACTTAATTTTGGTCAGCAGAACTAGTCTATCTCTTTTATTTACAGTACAACCAATTACCATTTTATGCAGTTACCTGGCTAATCAACAAAGGTCATACAAGTCAAAACCAGATCTATCTTATCCAAAGTAATCCCATACTGGCCGTCATATCAGTGTGTGAATATGAATATTTCTACTCTTAAACTGGGATACACGTTATAGTCTGTAGTCTAAAGAAAGCAGCATTTAGAGACTAAACTGGGACATAATGTACAGAGATTAATTTATTCAGGCCCTCTTATGATTACACCACCACTGAAACAACTTTACATGCTGCAACTGTGCATTTAAATCCACGTCCTGGTGAATAGTAAACAGTATTAATTGGCCATTTATCAAAAATGCATGTCTTCTTGAGGTCAAATGTGTATAATTTGCTGACATGAATGGTTTATATTTCTTTTTTTACATTTTAATTAAACTAAATCTATTCAGAGTTCTTTGATGTGTTAAAGCTTCTTTTTAGTTGTTTTTTTTTGTGTAGCAATAACAGCAATCTTGTGGTAATTCCAGGACATGAGACCTCACTCAAAATGTATCTCAAAAGTAGTACTTTTGCTCTTAAGGACCCCCCTGTGGTGAGTTTAATGCACTGCAATCTAAGACTATGCCTGGTGTAGACAGCCTACCATCATCATACACTGACTGTGTTGTAAAAAACATTTCTAATTTAAGACATTGGATGCTTTTTATTGGGCTAAGCCAAACAAAGAAAGTGGATAGCGCTAAAAAGGAGAAAAAATGTCTGCTTTTACTATCATACATAATTGGCTATTCATTTTGCCCTCATGATTGATGTTAATAAAAAATATACTTTTATATTCAGATAAATATCTAATAAAAATTTGGTAGCCAAAAAAAAACAAAAAACAGATTCCCAAGAAAATGGAGACAATTCATAAGAAAAAATACTATTTATTATACATGTTTCTAAAGAGAATCATACTTAAACAGGTGAAATCAATAGTACCCCTCTATGTCATGAACCTGCAATCTCTCATCAACACCAACACATGTAACAAATCACCCCCAAAACAACACATAACTTTTCAATTCAATTATTCTCAATGGGTAAACATGGCATCAGTTTGGGGCGCGTGTCGCATGCCCCGTGTACAGAGGCTGTGGTCCTTGTTGCAGCGGCCGGGGGTTCGAATCCCCACCTTGGCCTTTTGCTGCATGTCATTCATCCCCCCACTCTCTCCTCCCCAACATTTCCTGTCTCTCTTCAGCTGTCTCATCAAACAAAAGCATAAAAAGGCCCCCAACACACACAACTTAAAAACATGGCATCACTTTGAATTCCATACAATGATTCACATAAAGTACAAGTTCAAACAAAAAAAAATGTCAGTTAATTGTTTGATGCTACAACATTAGTTGTCTCAGCTATGATCATTTGAAAAGAAATCCTTAACAGAAGTTTTATTATCATATTTAACCTTTAATTAACATGTAAAAGATTTCAACCCACAGTAGAAAAAAACCAACACTAAAACATTCAGTCAGGAGTTGAGATGCGACCATGAAATGGAAGGAAGCTCAGGTCACCCACAACTTACAAAACTGATTTAATTATCAACTCCAGACCTTCCTTATGGAAAAAGTAAGCTGCAGATTTCCTAATTCGTTTAGTTTCAGTGCCAAAATAGAGTGAGTCAACTGTCAGGATGCTCTAATAGGCATTACTTAATGAAGAGTGAAAGTAATATGATTTGATTGTTAAAGACATAAAGGAAACATACGTATTGTAGTTGTAACACACTAGCAGCTACACGATCGTCAGACTATAAAGAAGTTTAAAAAAAACTTTGATATGAATGAAGCAGACGTTTGTTTCTGGAATGCATGAAAAGAGTTAAGCACAAATATCCAAAGATTTCTACTCGGAATATCTGAACAAATATGATAATAGCAAAAACTTTAAAATAGTTTGGTCTCAAAGACTACTAAAAAAATATGACAGTAATAAATAAGAATCCCTTTTTTTTTAATCAAGCTTGTAAGGCCTAAAAACATGCAGATTTACACAAAACTACTAAGATTGTTTATCTAAAGTTTTGTTAAAAAGAAGTCTCGGCCCAAAGCAGCACAAGCGTTTCAGCTCAGAGAAGTCAGTGGTTTAAAGTGCAAACGAAATCTTAAAAATGATCTCATCTTTCTTGGAAGCTTTTCTCACAACAGACATGTTGATATATTGTAACAGGGAATCTAGAGGTGCAACTTTTAGGGCTGCCTTTCATGTTTGTGAGACAGTACAGTTTAAGGTCTCTATGAAACAATGACCCTTGGTTACACTTGGTTTTTAAATGCACTAAATACAAGAGACCGCCGAGATGCACAAGATCAAATCAGTCACGCCCACTTGCAGAGGTCGATCTGAGACGTGTTGGATGAAGAAGCATCCCCAACAACTAACCTCAAAATGAACTATCCATACAAGACACAAGAAAGCTGATATGAAGTATTTCATTTTTAGTATGCCAACTCTTGAAAAACTACGGCTATCAGTCCCAACAGTTGGAGGAAATAAAAGGGCTTTATCAGTTCATTAAACTGTGTTTTATGAACTAGCCTGTGTGAAAAAAGAAAAGTCAATGACTGTGGCCGGAAGTGACTCGGAAGTCTTAAAAAAATGTGTTGAAGCTGCCCGATCGACACAATATGACTGACTATGTGTTACAGCTGTCCTCTTGTGTTAACCCCGAGTTTAAACAGGATCGATACTGAACCAATGTCTGCTGTGAAAAGTCTTTCAGTTGAACTATATCAAGAGATTATAATAATAATATATTATAAACTCACATCACTTGGTGGGATTTGGCTTTCCATGTATTGTAATTACCTTTTGGTCATTCTTCTGTCCCACTAAAATAAAACTGTCCATTCACTCTGCATCTAGAGTAGTTCATAATAAACTTTGGATTCACTCAATTTATGAAACAGAGTAAGAAGATACAAAGGTTAGCCCTCGAATATATAGCATTAATGAGGTTACCAAGATTTAATTAATACATCAGCCATTCATTTGAGTTCAACTAAATGTTTGTGTTTTTGCTTTTGTTTCGTCAGATGATGGACAAAAGCAACTGAAGATGTAGAGAGGTTTCACCTGAACGCAGCTTCCTTTGAAATAATCATGGCTTCACATTTGTTTGGAGTTCATCTTATTGCAGACAAAGACGATTTTTGTTGTGATCTTACCCTTCAACTAGCCCCACTACATCAACTGTTTAAAATATCAAGCAGATGATTGTTTAGTTATAGGTGTTGTCACTAATCTTTTGAAGGGATAACATGACTAGAAACCAACAAGCTAATCGTTAACTAAGGTTGTGTTTGTTTTGTCTGTCACACAGTTGACGCCGCTCTAATGAGTTCTCATTGGGACTGATACTAATCAATCATCATGTCCCTGTGACGAGCCTTAAACACACCTTAACATCTTTTAAAAGCTCTGCACACATACAAGCACATTTTTAGATATTGTCTGATAGAATTAGGTAAATACATTTTTATTTATAATAATAATAATAATAATAATATTAAAGGTCCTTATTCGGTAGTAGCAAATACAGGAGTGTGAAGACGTTAGCTATCCATCGACATAATGTTCTCATTCTGTACCTCTCCGAATGTCCTGAAGTCATGTTAGGCAAAAGAAGTCACAACACCAATGTTTGTAGTTAATGCAAACACAGAATGAAGCACACAAAATACACATTTCAGTAAGAATCAGTGTGAAAAAAGGCATATGCTTAAATAAAGTAAGGTATGACAGCTAGTTTTTTTTTTTTTTTCAGTCAAGTTTAAAAATAAATATGAATAAGGGCGACTTCTTCATTTGATCCAACCATTCATTACCTTCAAAATGATTTCTTTAAGCAGGCTGATATCAATACAAAGAAATAAAGGCAACATGATATGCAAAAACAAAAGTGCAAAGATGTAGTGGCAGTTGAGCTTAATCTTAACAAACTGATTTTCTTTTTTTTTATGTGCATTTTGTGTGCTTAACATGGTGACTTAAACACATGTAGTCGCTTTTCTGCACTCAGTTTCCCCAAAAATTGTCTAAAAAATATATTAAAAATATTTTTGGTCACAGCTTCGGGCTTCGTGTTTTTGAAATCTCAACTCTGTGGCTTACCAATGTCCACAGTTACATTCACATAAAGAGGCAGCCTCTCTACTGACAGAGTCTCATAGGAGCAGCTGTTGAGTCCATCCTTTCTCCATACCTGTGGCGTTCGTCCCAACAACCTCATCCTGAAAAGCAAAAAAAGACAACTGAAGAGATTTGCATCACACATAAGGATGGACAATTTGAATAGACTAATAATCAGCTGAAATATCCATCATCATCTTAACACTAACCGACCTGTCTTTGTTAATTTGATTGCCACTGTCCCGCTTGTGAAACACCATAGTGTACCGAGCGACATCAGCAGGCGGACGTATGATCTTCATTTTCTGCAGCTCAACCCTGAACGAGACAGCAGACACACAGCCAATGAACAAGGAGACATATACCACACTGCTTAAGATGCAATAAAGGGAAACATATCAGGCAGTGAATACTGTTTTCACTCCTGCTGTCACACCTGATGCGCAGGTCATCATCTTCTCCACCCCAACCCCAGTAGGCGTTGGAGAATCCGTTCACTTGAAGAAACTGGTCTTTGGTCATAGCTGTGACTCCTCCAAAGTAGCCTTTGTAACGCAGCCTGAGAGCGCAAGAATGAAGATAATACATATATTTATTATTATTATTAATAATAATAATAATAATAATAATAATAATAAGCTTTATTTATATTGCACTGGGTTACAAAGTGCTTTAGAAAAAAATAAAATAGAGAAATGTGAGGAGGACAATACAGGAGTTCCACAGATTATAAAAATTAGAGGGAAACAAAACAATTTAAAACCAGCAAGAAATCACAGAAGAAAGGGGAAAAGTCAATATAAAAACACCAAAAAGATTAAAGGAATGAAAGAAGCAGATTAAAACCATAAAAGGATAAATGATCAAGGAAGATACTGCCCTGGATTCTACCATAATTAGGAATAAAGGTATTATCTAAGGAACAGAAGGAAAAAAAAAAAAGATATACAGTATATACAAATAACATATCGGGACTCTTAGAATATGTTATCAGACCTGAAGACACCACAGTCTGTCAGCTCTGCAATGTTTATCCACAACGGTGATGTAAAGCTGATGACATACTCTTACTCGTACTTACTTGTATCCAGTTGCATTCCGCCCAACCACCAAGTGTTTGGGTTGCTTGTCACAGACGTATAAATTGTGATCATTTTCAGGAACCAGATCCACATCATGGAAGATGAAGCACTCCCAACTGTAGTCCTTCAGTGCCTCCAAATATCCAACATTCAGTAACTTGGCACGGTTAAAAGTTGCATCACCAGCCTTTAAAAAACAAAAAAACAAAAACTAGAACACAATTGTTGCTTTACTCACTGATTCATAAAAATATCTGTAATAAGTAGGAGGGTCAGAGGTCACAGGATCAACGACAGAACAGCTGCATCTATGAGGCATGACGTGTGTAGGCCGGTAATTTAATTACTTTAATTTTTTTGCAGAGGCTTCAAAACCAAGCTGTTATAGAGAATCACAAACACGTTGATTTGTAGAAGTTGAATGTGTGCTTTTAGACTGATTTCTAAAAGTATGAAGTACGAAGCCAGATAACCACACAAGTGCCAAAGCACAACATTATGAAAACATTGCATATTATTGAAACTAGTCTATAATAGATTATGTTGCTGAACACATCCTGCTTCTCTGTCTCTTCAGTAACACAGGTTAATCGAGTGGAAAACAAACACATGCCAAGGACAATATTTACCTGTCATGTGATATGACGTTTATTTACTGATTAAAACTCTAAAACTCCTTCTTCTCTAAATATTTGAATTGTATCTGGTTATGGATTATTTACCTTTCACATCAAGACATGTTTTGCCTCACTAGTATCTGCGCTTCCAGATCTTATTTCAGTGTTTTGCGCATCATTGAACATGACTTATTTTCAAAGGCGATTTCTTTTCTGATGTCTCCAGTAGCATTACACTGATATCAAACTGTTTGACGGTATTTTTGTTATTTAATTAAAAGTATTGGACATACCTTTTTTATGTAATCTAAAAATAAGTAAGGTCTTTAACCTGCTTTTTGTAAAACGTCTCTAGATAACATTTGTTAAGAGATGGCACTATATAAATAATGATTCATTGATTAATACTGTTTGGTTTTGTCTGACTTTTTTCCTGCCACAAAGTGAAACATTAATTTATATAAGGCAGATTATACCTCACCTATCTTCCTCCTTTTGGTTGTTATGCAATACCTAATACCTTCAAGAGGTTCTATTTTTCATGTAGAAAGCTTTTCATGTGCAGGCGCATCATATTTGGATGTATATTACATATTTTCTGTTTGATTAACCGCACATCTTTTTCAGAGTATGAGCTGGTCCCCATGACGTCAACATTCAAGTGGTTACTGCTGATAGCTGATATTACAACTTCTTCATCTTAATTGTCTACGCATGCAACTGCATGTGTTAAAGTTCAAAATATATCTAAAACATAAAAATAAAGTTGTAAAGCATGAGACATTAAACTGTGCCGTACCTGCTGGATGACGTAGATGGCGTAGTGTAGCTGCTGCCTCTGCAGAAAGGGGTGCAGGTGATGCAGGAGGTAGAGGAGGTGTTTCTCTCTGCTGCGATGAGGGATGAGGATGGCTACGCTCTGCCTCGCCGTGCAGTCTGCTGGCTCGTACTCTCCCTCAGTCACTCTTTTGTTCTCGCCCTCCACATCGGTCAGTTTCAGAGAGGACTCAAAGGACAGCTTCACAGCTCCTTCTGCAGAAGTAACGAATTCAACAAATACAGTAAGCTGAGTCTTAGCTACAAGTCATCAATCTGTTGTCGTTTGTGATTTGTAACACTGCAGGCAGACAAGAAGGACTTGATGAAAATATTTTCCAAATCTGACAAATCAAACTATTTGATTTGGAACTTTGTTGAAGATTGGCACGACAGAAATCATGACGCAACAAAAAGAGCAATTCATCTTTTAACTAGCACTAACACTACATATATCTGTTAGTGATAGGTATCTAGCCCATCTTGTTTTATTACCTACACTGTAAGCAGTGAAAGGTGTATTATTACCATCAACAAATCATTAACAAGGTGGCCCATAAACAAATGAAATATCTGTGAATACTTACGTAGCAACGACGACTCCTCGGGGCATTTGACTTTGGGTGTTGGAGTATTTAAGTTCTGAGGAGTGGCTGTCAAAGAGTTAAGTTTGTCCCTCAGGCTGTCCCCTTGGACAGAAGGTTGTTTTGTGGCAGAAGGGTCGTGTACAGATTTTAATGTTTCCCCTGTAAAATTTGCAATCCATGCCAGCACTGAGAGCGAGACAAAGAGCAGTACAAAGTACTTTCCCCTCCGTAAAATCTTATACACAGGCGAGCAGAAGCCCATGGCTGTGTGAATGCACTGGCTCGAAATGGAAAAAAGTTGGATCTGTAGATGCTGTGACTTAATTCTTACGATATGTCCTTTTTGTAGGGCATTTCAGCAAAAATACTGACAGCCAGAGTTTCACTTTCCAGTCATCCCATGGTGAGGAAACATTCTTCTGAAACACTCAGTGAGTAAGACACGGTTTAATTTGAAAACTTATTGGTGAAAATCCATTGCTGATTCTCAAAATCCAGTTTCAGGAGGTGAGGCAAAAATCTTGAGCTTGTCCAACAGCTGTTGTTGATGTTCAGAGAGAGAGAAAAAAGATGTTACTGCAGATAATTTAAGTCCTACTGCCACGTCTCCTCCTGTGAAACTAACACCCCCGCCCATCAACAAAAAAAACACAGAAGAGATGTTATCGTAGAAAACAACCTGGGACACTAGTTAAGTTTCTTTATTTCAAGTTTCTTTTCTTTACTTAATGATTGTGTTACACTCTTTTCAAAAAAGCTTCCTGAAAGGTAATCTCACACCCAGTAACTATACACCTGTCTTTTTTAGTGCACCTTTACAAAGTGTTGTGTTTGAATACAGAAGTGTTTTACATCAGGTTTCTTTAGAAATATATAACTAATGAAGACTTTCATTCGTGTCCACATGTCAACAATTTTATCTACTGATCGATTAACCATTGGACTAAAAATGCTTGTTAGTCAAAATAAAAATATCCAGCACAAATACCTAGTATACAGTGATATATACTAGAAATGTTTCCTGTGTTTTAAACCAGAGAACTGTGAATATTTTCCTTAGTCTTTCAAATAATACAATTTAAATGTAATTAATATACTCTATTTAGCGATTGTGTTTTAATTTTAGCTAAATTAATAATAAATAAATAAATAAATGTAATTAATATACTCTATTTTGCGATTGTGTTATTATGTTAGTTAAATGAGTAATAAATAAATAAATAAATGTAATTTTTTTAAATGTTCTATTTATTGTCAAAACTTGGCTTGTTTAGAAATATATTAAAGCAAACATATAATAGAGTAAAACTTTAACTTTTTTTAATAACTTACATTTTTTTAAAACCTCTCCGTAGCTCCGATGTGACAAGCTAAAGTTAGCTCCAAGCAACACCACGTTATCTGCTGTAATTAATGCGAAGAAGAGGAGAGACATTATTCTATTTGTACATGCTGCCAGCTGTTTTTTTTTCTAGGAAGTTCTGTAAATGTGTTTGACTCCAAATTGGTCCTTAAAACAGAGAAACGAACAGAGATGAAGAGTCCTAGCGGTTAGCAGTGAGCTAGCTGAAGAATGTGTATGCACCACTCTGGAGACACTTTTATGTGCCGTGAAAACTATTTGTTAGCTTTAGTAGTGGCTTAATGAAAAGTCCAGACGAGGTATAACCCTGATACAGTGAAAGGAAATGCTGTCAAAGACGGTGTAATTGCAGTATTGGCTGGTGCATCTTACCTTTAAAACGAGCCTCTGTTGTCCCAGGTTATCAACAAACGGAATCAGTCTGTCAAGGTAACATGATTACACAGCGCGTCTGCCGGATGTACTTCAAAATAAAAGCCTTAGTAATAAAAAAGGATAAATACGCAGGCTATATGGAAACGATTTTCAGCATAATCTACCCTATTTGCTCCCAATAATTGCTGGTTTAAAATTGTGTAAAGTATTTCTATAAAAAGGCAATGTATGAAGCTTTTTGTGCTACATGTTTTATTTATTTATTCATTTATTTATATTTACTTACTGACTGTAATAAGTAGGCTACGTAATGTAAAAAAAACAAAAAAAAAATGTTTTCTTTCTACAAGCTGTCATCGTGATAATGTAGTAAACAGTCATACTTTAAGTGTCAGAAACATGCACAATCATGTTTATTTCAGCATCCTTTCCACTCCTCCTCACCACTGCGATATTGCATTAGGCAAACTTGCACATATTAATTTATTATTCAAGGTTTAGTGCTTGTACATAGAGCAGAGTTAATAACAGATATAAATTCCTTGAAGGCCTATGTGTACACATAACTGACCAATAAAGCTGATGCGGGTTTTGATTCTGATAGTATTTGTTTTGAAATTGTGTAATTCGATTTGCTTAGTTGATTTATTTGTCTCTTAAGAGGTGAGGTCCCTTGTATAAGCCTGTTGGCTTCTTGACCTCTCCTGACACGCCTTTTATGTTTTTGTTAATCCTATTTTTATGTATTCTTATATGTGTGCTAATAAATAAATAAATAATAGTCAGGAAAAGATTTCAAAAAATGTTCCCCGTATTCAGCAGATACTTATGCATGTCTGTGTGCTCATTTTTTTTATGATACTGAACCCCTGTAATTCGCACAATGCAGCGTCCTTAGTGCTTACATTTTGAAAGAAGGATCAAGGAACCGGAAACCATTGTTTCTTTGAGAGTTAGCATCTCTGACTTGATCAAAATCGAAGCACTGCCATTGAATCCTTTTCACAATAAAGGCTGTGGTATATTTTGTGTAAAAGTTCCAGTTATCTTACATTCACAAGAACTATTCTCTTTTTTTTTGTTTAATGGGTGAATGGGTTGTATGAATTTCAAACTGAGTTCTTGAAAAGTGTGTAAAACAGTGTATTCACTTGTGTCTCTTAGTTCATGTTTGTCTATTGAATATCTGCAGGAGTCAGTAAGAGACCTTGATAGATCTATCATCTAAAACAATGATGAACATTCCCATTGCTTCCTGGTAATTTAGTCCAATATCTGTCTCATCCCACTCCAGCAGATGAGACATGGACAACATGCTGGTCTCTCTGCTGGGCTATACACCGACTTTGAGGATAAAGGTCTTTTCCTCTTGCGAACACAGTTGGTGGTTGTCCAGCTGCTCCTCAGTCTGCTGCAGGTCAGCCATGATCCTGAACGTCTCAGCATGTTATCCTCTTGAGAGCGTTATGGGAGGTCCTGCACTCCCAAACCTTTTAACTTCTTTTTTTTTTTTTAAAGTTTCCTTTAACTGACAAGAGCTTCCCCTTTGGAAATGTCCCAGTAAAATAATCTATTAAATAGTTAAAAAGTAATTGCAGAAATCAAGATGTCAAGTTGTTTTACCCTATCGTATGTAACATTGAGTTAATTTGTTTGTAAGTCTCTTGCCTTGCCTCTTTTTTTGAATACTCTAATTATTACATTTTTCTGCTGGTTTGGCTGTGGGAGTAAGGCTTAAGATGTCAGTTTACCTCGACGCTTGCCTTTAATCATTCTACATTTAATTTCCAATGGTGAATGTCTTTGTTTTCTCAACTGTTTCATAATTTATTGATTGTAAAAAAAAAAAGGAGTTCAATCATCCAACACATACATTCTTTGAATTAAATGTTAGAACACTATATTGTCAGGAAAATGTACTTACCATAAGCAGGGTTGTCTCTTCTTACTGTTATCATATCGTACCATATTTTATCACTCTATCACAAGAGGCGCCTCTTCGTTATTTCAAAGTTAACACTCAGACACAGTGGATTTGAATAAACAGTGGTTTATGGTGCTCCTCCCTCCTCACCACACCTCCTCCACCCTGAGAGGACATGACTGCGTAGTGTAGCTCCATTGCGAGAATGACGTTAACATGTGAGATTGGCCTTCACTGTTTGCAGATGTCAGAGCCTTGTGATAAGCAAGCTGCAAGCATAGAAAGAGCAGGTTTTACTACTATTCTGAGCTTTAGTTCTAAGAGAATTCAGGTTATTTCTACCATCATGTTGATGTTTACCTTTTAATAAAACATGATTGTGCCTCAAGGTAGTTCAAATAATTTAACAAGCTCCAATGTGGAAAAATAGAGAATACTTTTAGTTCCCTCCATTTTCACACAAAGATCTCAAATTTAACAATGCAATGAGATGAGTACCTTAACTGGAAAAGAAAGGAAACTGTAATGATTATACTTCTCTTACACCAACATCTATCATTTATTACTGTCTAAATCTTTTTCAAATGCCACATCATCATTTAGTTGGAACGTTTGCTCGAGTGTTTCAAACTTTACTTTTTTTTAAAACTACTGAAAGACAACCCAAAAAAAGTGTCAATTTGGATTTGGCACTGCCATTTTGAGCAGTTATGCTTCCATTACTTTTTTTTTTTTGTCTTGTGAATGACCTTAACACCGCATAATCACTGAGTGTGGAACATTTTGTCGACATCCTGTAATTGTGTATTTACGGAGTGACTCATACATCCTCTGGTCTCGCTTGTCTGATCAAAGAGCCTGAGTTGTCCTCTTGTCAAATGTTTCCAACTTAACGGGTCAGGTCTTTGTGCTGAACCCTCTGTGTATATACAAAGTCAGTTTGTCATTGAATCAGATAGATGGGTAGGCCAGCGGCAGGTAGGACTTTAGGTAGGTATATGCAAGTTTTATAATCTAATATGTTAATGATGCAACCAAAGTTAAAAAAAACAACAACAACAACTTAAGTATCCAACATAATGTTTTAATGGTACAAAATCTTGTGTTATTATTAGCTGTGTGAGTGAACATCAGTGTTAAGATGAAAATAATAAGAGTAACAGGATTCTGCTATGGTACAGTACATTTGTTGGACTGTCATTGTATTGCTTTTAGTGAACTTTTTTTTTCTTTCTGAAAAAAAATGTTTAAAAAAACGTAAGGAAAAAAGTTAAATGCTCTTTCAAAATAAAGTCCAAAATACACCCTTTTAATGGGATCAATGAAGCTGACACATCCACACACATGCTATCACATCAAAGAACTCCTTCTTGACTCTTCAAAGCTTAAGGACAGAGTCACCGTTCCACTGCCAAAGCTTACTCTGGGCTTGTGCTTTCCTGCGTCACAGTCGTTGCCGTTGGTCTTGAGGCTGATGGATGAGGACGGAGACGAGGTTGACGACCCGCCAATGCTGCTGGACTTCTTCCTGGTGGCCGAGTTGTGTTTTAGCGTAGCTTTTGCGGCCACTTTGAAAGCGTGGGCAGCAGTGCTGCATCGGACTTCCTCTATGGTGTTCCTGCAGGGTTTGAAGAGGATGATGTA